CACACGCACAGACACACACACACACACACACAGACACAGACACACACACACACACACACCAATACATTTTTAAATAGATATAATAAATCATGTATGATATTATATCATATGGAAACTATGGTTACCTTAGTCAATTGGTACCGTTATTTTATTGGGATTAATTATTGGGAAATATTGAAAATATATTGACAAATTAATTTGTTTATTACTGATATTATCTGATGTATAAATATTTTCAGATCCAGATTATTGTTTGTTATTTGGTCCAGGTTTCTGACATTGTGGAGAACATCTAAACAAACACATAAATTATATTATAGCATATTATACACTAATAGTTATTTTATGTATCAAATTATACCATATATGGAAAATACGCTTTTCCTTGGTCAGGTTTTGCCATAGTATTTTTATGTAATTTTATTGGGATTAATTATTAAAATTATAATTGATTGGTTTTTATATTATTTTATGGGACTTTTATTTCGAAAAGGCATCCTAGAATCCCAGTGTCGCACTTCCTGTTATTGCTGACTTCATTTCCGGGCGTCGTTCCAGGCAGAGGTGAAAGACACAAACACATTTAGCGCAGATTTGAGCTTTAATTCGGATTTATCAGCGAAATCAGGATTCGTTCTGTTGAAGTGATCGGCGGTCGTTATCGCGGAGGGACTCAGAACTGAAATCACAACAAACCGAAGCATAAAAGTGAAGGAATGGGTTGCGAGGAAACTCGCTTCGTTTAGAAGTGAACGAGAATTCCGACTTGAATTGAACAGACAGGATTAGTTCATATTCAAACACTAGAAGTCTAGGATTACATATTATAAGATCATTATTTCAGATACAATATCAGAAATTCAGTTAGTTAGACTAAACGTCTCCATTTGTTTTAAACAGCTCATAAGATCCATATTAACCCAGTTTTTTTTTGTAATAGAGATCAACTATAATGGCAGTTGGTCCGGCGGAGACTTTCCATGTGCTTCATAGATGAGCTGTAGAGCTCAGGCAGGTGTTTTTAATGGGAGGCGGATTGATCTGCTCTGAGATCAGCGGGCGAATCTTGCACAGATGGCGGAGGTACCGGCTCTGGCCCGGTTGGAGTCCCTGGCCCGGTATGTTCACAAAGCGGCCAGCGAGGGGCGAGTCCTGACCCTGGCCGCCCTGCTCCTGAACCACTCCACCGTTCAGACCCGATACCTGCTGGAGTATGTGACCCAGGAGGCCGGACAGAGATCCACACCGCTCATTATTGCTGCTCGGAACGGACATGACAAGGTGGTCCGGCTGCTTCTGGACCATTATAAAGTGGACACCGAACAGACTGGGACTGTCAGATTTGACGGGTGAGTTGTTTATTATTTATACATGTCTATACACTGATTATGTAAGCGATACATTTATTTCGCTGACTGTATATTATGTTTGCTATTACACGGCTACTCTATACACAAAGTATTGATTGAATTGCAAATTATGTTGTAATCTTACCTGTATATTATCCTAGAGGTTTCGCTAAGAAGTAGTAATCAGTTACAATGTACAAAATAATCGGGCTGGCAACAATTACTATAAAATTAACACTCGTATTCTCTGAGGTACCGTTAATTTTACAACAATCGATAACTGAAACGGAAAAATGGCGTATGAAATAAAAAGAGCGCGAGTCTGCGGAGGGATATGAGACGTATGAAAGTATCGCCGGTTTCAGTTACCCGGATGAGCGGACTGATATACAGCGAAAATTAGACCGCTGAATACCGTGATCGACTAATCAGAAACGAGTATTCCTCGTGTGATAAAATGCTTTTCTCCCCAAACAAAACAAATATTAATCTGTCATTTTTTTAACCGCCCTTCATGTTGATGATACATGTCCAAACCAGTATGATTTACTTTGTGGAATATGAAAAGAGGTGTTTAGCAGATTTTTTTTTCTTGCAATTAAAGTAAATTAAGGAGATCTCCACTAATGTGACTTTTGCGCTGTATTTGAAGTCTTCTGAAGTCATATAATTGCTTTGTGTGAGGAACCGACCCAAATTTAAGTCATTATCCATTGAAAATTTTCATTCATGCTCGAGTAACGTACATTCAAATATGGCGCATGAAGAAGCATCACGACAAGTTTGAGCATTGTAGTAAATTATTTTCTTTAAACTTTACACTGTGATACATTTTTCTAGGTCAATAAATATATTTTTGATTCATGTAAACCTTACAAATGTTACTATTTTTATTTTACTTTATGCTAATTTTATGGAGAGCTGTAAAAAAAATTTACTGAAAAAAATTGGTGTAGAATAAATTTTAACTCAGAAATCGCTAGTAAATTTCGCAGTTACAAAGAAACGGCAAGTAACATTAAATTGTACATGAATTTTTTAAATGTAGAAATACTAAAATAGCATTTTTTTTTAAGTTCTTGTTTCTTTGTTTTGTTTACAACTTGAAAAAAATTTTTTTTTTTAAGTGTGCTTGTGAGCAGTTAAAATTGTGAAATTTGGAACAACATGAAAGCGAGTAAATGCTGGCAGAAATGTCATTATTGTGTAACTATTCCAAAAGAGCCCTGTGTTTTACTATGCCATTGCTGATGTGTCTTTCGCTCTTACAGGTATATTATTGATGGTGCCACGGCTCTTTGGTGTGCAGCTGGCGCTGGGCATTTAGAAGTGGTACGTTTGCTGGTTTCGCACAATGCCCACGTGAATCACACCACCCTCACAAACTCCACCCCCCTCAGGGCTGCGTGCTTCGACGGCCGGCTGGACATCGTACGGTATCTCGTTGAGCACAAGGCCGACATCAGCATTGCCAATAAGTACGGCAACACTTGTTTGATGATCGCCGCTTACAAGGGCCACACCGACGTTGTTTACTTCCTGCTGGAGCGCAGCGCGGATCCTAATGCCAAAGCTCACTGCGGGGCTACTGCGCTGCACTTTGCCGCAGAAGCCGGGCATCTGGATATCGTGAAGGAGCTTGTACGATGCCAAGCAGCTATGGTGGTTAACGGACATGGCATGACGCCACTGAAAGTGGCGGCCGAAAGTTGCAAGGCGGACGTCGTAGAGCTGCTGCTGTCGCATGCGGATTGCGATGTACCTAGCCGCATTGAGGCATTGGAACTGCTTGGAGCATCTTTCGCCAACGACCGTGAGAATTACGACATTCTTAAGACCTACCACTACTTGTACCTCGCCATGCTGGAGCGATTTCGCGATCCCGAGAGGGTTATCGCCAAAGAGTTGCCGTCTCCAGTTGCGGCGTACGGAGGGAGGGCCGAGTGCCAAAATTTGCAAGACTTAGATGCCATTCGACACGACCGGGATGCACTACACATGGAAGGCCTCATGATTCGTGAACGAATTCTGGGTGTGGATAACATAGATGTGTCGCATCCCATAATATATCGCGGCGCGGTCTACGCCGACAACATGGAGTTCAAACAGTGCATCAAACTCTGGCTGCACGCCTTGCATCTACGCCAACAAGGAAACCGCAACACGCATAAAGACCTCTTGAGATTTGCGCAAGTGTTCTCGCAAATGGTCCACTTGAAGGAGCCGGTCCGCGCATCGGACGTTGAACACGTTTTGAGCGCCAGCGTCCTTGAGATCCGCCGCAGCGTGGCGCGCTTGCGAACCACCACCGATGCGGAGTTGCCGGCGGCCACCGACAGCTACGAATCCAACGTGTTCACTTTCCTCTACCTGGTTTGCATCTCTACGAAAACGCAGTGCAGCGAAGAGGAACGAGCGCGTATAAACAAACAGATCTATGACTTAATACGCCTAGATCCGCGATCCCGAGAGGGGTTGTCGCTTTTGCACCTAGCGGCTAGCTCTAGTACGCCAGTAGACGACTTCCACACCAACGACGTGTGCAGTTTTCCAAACGCGCAAGTGACCAAGCTGCTTATAGACTGCGGAGCCCAGGTAAACGCCGTGGACCATGAAGGAAACAGCCCTTTACACCTCATCGTACAGTACAACCGTCCCATCAGCGACTTCTTGACCCTCCACGCCATCATCATCAGCCTCGTCGAAGCCGGCGCTCATACGGACATGACCAACAAGCAAAAGAAGACCCCGCTTGATAAGAGCACAACGGGTGTTTCTGAAATCCTTCTGAAGACGCAGATGAAGATGAGTCTGAAATGCCTGGCGGCTCGCGCCGTGCAGCAACATCAGATCTTGTATCGGGACCAGATTCCCAAAAGCCTGGAGGAGTTTGTTGAATTTCACTGACCTGTGCTTTTGTTTTTCCATCAGATCTGGTTTTTGGAGTTTGTTTTAACCTGTGAAACGGTGCTGTGAACTCCTAATTTGACCTCGTTTAGTGCTTTGCACGGATTGTAAGTCTAGAAAATGTAGAAAATATACATCCGTTTGGGAGATCTGACTAAATCCAACTGCTGCATTTTATCCCAAAGGAACTGGAGTTTCCAGTTTCATTCTGGTTCTTTTTTTAACAAATCAAAGAGGATGTTGATGCTGATGGATACTGGCAGCGCAAAAGACTCTTATTTTGAACACTGATACGTTTCTTCTTTTGGCAAACAGCATTTTATTGTGTGTTGGACTGTAGTCATGACAATGTGAACAGCTTTTTTTATTAAGCTGCTCTTTTGTCAAAATGTTCATATTTTTTGTTTTCTTAACGTATTTTATAAGAGGTTTATTTAAAACAGAGTGAAAAATGTCTATTTTAAAATGAATCAATAGCCGAGAGTTGATATCCTAAAGCTAAACTCCGTGCCAGGTGGTTTCTTTTATTTGAATATTAAAATGTGCCTGTAACCAGAAAGTTGGACGTTTATAATTATTATTGTTATCATTATTATTATTATTATTATGGTTCTTTTTTTTAAAACCATGACGCCACTTCAAAGCCAATTAGCGAGTCTGTAATTCTGACTCTCGTTAATGAACACATGCTGGAGCTCTTTTTGAGTCACGGGGCCTTATTCTGGATGGTGCTGTCGTGTGAATGTGAGAGCAGCATGTCTTCCTGCTTTTAGTTCTGTGTGTGTGTGTGTGTGTGTGTGTGTGTTTGAGAGCATGTCTGAATGTGGCCGAATGTGAAGGTTTTTAACCCTCTTTGTTTGCACCATGTTTTATTCTTTAATTACTGAATATTGATCAACGTGTGTTTATTTCCAAACCAAATATAACAAGATTAAAAACATCGATCTAAGACACCTGTCAGACTCTGTGTGATTCTGTCGCATTTGAATTGCAATTTTTAAAGGAATAGTTCACCCAAAAACTTTGGAAAATTTGGAGAAACCAAGTTTTGGAGAAATGTAGCATTCCATCACTTGCTCACCAATGGATGTGAATGGGTGCCGTCAGAATGAGAGTCCAAACAGCTGATAAAACATCACAATAATCCACACCAGTCCATCAGTTAACATCTTGTGAAGTGAAAAGCTGCATGCTTGTAAAAAACAAATCCACTTTAACTTCAAACCGTCGCTTCTTGTCAAAATATGACTCCATAATCCAGTGAAAAAGTCCATCTCCTGTTGTCTCTCACATCAAAATCCTCTCACATATTTGTTTAGAGCTGTTTTGGCTAGTAAACAGTGCTTGATCTGTGTAGATTTCTCTCCTGATTCAGACAAGATGACATTTTCACTGGAAGAAGCGTTATGGATAGAGGACTTGTATTTTTAGGAAGAAACAGAAGGTTTGAAGTTAAAGTGCCTTAATGATGCATCTATTTCTTAAACACATAGCCTGTCACTTCACAATATATTAACTGATGAACCGGAGTGGTGTGGATTATTGTGGTGTTTTTATCAGCTGTTTGGCTCTCATTCTGACGGCACCCATTCACTGCAGAGCATCCATTGTGTTGAGCAAGTCTTGGAATGCTAAATTTAGAACTATTTCTTAAATAAGGGAATTCAAAAACAGATACTTAGTCTTTTAAATCAAGGTGATTTTAATTTATTCAGTGGTCTGATTAAAAGCACATGACAAACATTCAGCTGTCATCTTTACATGCAATAAAATGGTGACATAAATGACAACAATTAAACCCGAGTGTCCATAGAATCACCACGGTGTCTTAAACTGTGAAAGCTGTGAAGCCATGTCAGAAGAAAATACTGTCTGAAAACATGACTATGTTTAGAACAGAACCATCAAACTACTTGTTGAAGTATGTATAGTGTGCAAAGTATGCTTTTTATGCATCGCATGAACTACATTTATCAAATTGTGCACACTGCACTGAATGACCTTATAACCATCAATGCAATGCATTTAACTTGATCTTTCACTTTTCCAGTGTGATGCATGGATTGTAAATTTGTCTTACTAATAATTTGGTCAGGCTGACATCTTCATAAATACTTTGACTTTAAATGTAAATAACCTTATATGGTTTACACATGGAATAATGCATACTATTTCACTTAGTATTTTTTAAATAGTCTGCAGTATACAGTGTGCTTGTAAGTAGTAGACTAGTATTCCGTTCTGAACACAGCCTCTGTTATTCAAGACAGCGATCATGAAAAAAAGTGTTTACGGGTAGTTGAGATGTCAAGAATATTTTATTCATTTCTAGCATTTTTTTCCCCAAAATTTTTGTCTAAGTCTTATGATAATATTAATGGAGAAATTACATAAAATTTTGTACTTTTACAGTATTTTTTTTTGGGATATCACACTACAGATACATAGTTTTGTATTATTTATGACAGCACACTTGCAGTCAAATAAAAAAAATATTGCAAATAAAAGGTAAGAAATAAGTCTGAACAAAAAAGCAAAATGTGCATGTTTATTTCAACTACCCTTAAACACTTTTACCAGTTTTAATGATGAAAAAGACAGAAATACACATGGAAGCAATACTTCCGATTCCAGCTGCAATGTACTGTATATAAAATTGTGATTATGACAATATCTCAAATACATGAACCTTGAACAGATGTTGCAACCAACTGCATTAAGGGTGCATACGTTCATGGTTAAATATTTTATTTATCATAGTTTTACATTATATTGCTGAACTTTTTTTTAATATTTACACATTTCAAGTTCAAAATTCTTTACAATGTGCAAGTGCATCAGCTTGAAATTATGCTGCAACAAACAAACAAAAAAAGTCTTAGGATTCTGTTCCACAATCTGAGGTTTGTTTCGTGAAATGCAACAAATTTATCAGCACCAAAACCTCTCAAAATGGTTCAAACCGAAGCCTCTTCATTAGTGTTTTTTCTTCCGTTGACTAGGACTTTCCACCTATTTCCAAAGTCTCATACTACGTGAAATTTCTTCCTCATAAACCGCATCTTCACATCTTCTGTCTTAATTGGCAGCACGGCCAGGGGAAGCAAGCTGATTGGTTCTGCATCGGACTGCAGGAGGGCGTGGCAGTGCTCGAGAGCAGCTGATTGGCTGACACACACCTGTGTCTGGAGAGTCCCTGAGTGATTGGCTGAGGAGGTTGCCGTGGCATTACCGATCCTCTGCTGTCTTCTCATTGGTCGCCTGCTCTTCCCTCTTTCTCTTTTGCCTGCTGAAGAATCCAAGCTGCGGATGAAAGAAAAACAGTGATTTGTTTCGAATCAAATAGCGGAAGCATCCTGAGAGATTTGACCTTAAACAAACCCTAAAATAAGTGTTTGTTATGTAAATGTAAGTTTTGATATGCAAATGTAGCTCTACTTAATCTAGTGTAAAAGAGCGTCAAGCATATGGACAGAATTTAAGCTTGGCTCTGGATAAAAAGGGATTTCAGTTGATAATTCAAGCAAACATAATGCAAGTTTGTTAGCCTAACAGTCAAATATCAGTGTTATTTTAATATTATTTACATACTATTTTAGCATTTATTTATATTTTGAATTAGATTTTATTTTCAGTTAATTTTAGCTTCATTAATTTGTTATATGCTGTTGTCGTTTTTATTATTATTATTGTTGTTTTTTCTATTTCTTTTACCATTATTTTGTTTTTGTTTTTTAGTTTTAGTCATTTTAGTACTTCAACTTATTTCAGTTATTTACCAAGGCAATATTTGTAATTTTAGTACATTAGTTACGTTTTAGTAATTCTATTATAAATTCTATATTTTGATATATATATAAAACTTATATTTTAACTTTTCATTTGTTTTTATTTAAGTTTTAGCAATTTTAGTATTTCAACTTAAACGTATTTTATTTCAGTTATTTGCCAAGACAACATTTGTAATTTTAGTACATTAGTTACGTTTTAGTAATTCTATTATAATTCTATATTTTGATAGATTTATTTTTATTTTATTTTTAATATTTTCACTTTTCATTTGTTTTTATTTAAGTTTTAGCAATTTTAGTATTTCAACTTAAACTTATTTTATTTCAGTTATTTACCAAGACAACATTTAAATATTTTTTTTTTTTAAGTTTGAGCTTTTCATTTCATTTTTATACAAATAATATTTATTTTATTTGAGCTTTATTTCAATTACAGAAACCAAAGTTTCATAGTTTTATTATTAGTTAACAATAACAACATTGCCAAATATTAGCATATTAAAGTGCGTCATTTTTTGGATTTTAAACCACTTTATTGTGCTGCATGCATTTTAATACGCAGATAAACTATAAGCAAGCCATTCGTAGGTAGATTCACCCTGAATTAAACCAGAATTACTCCAAAATGAGGCCATCTCCTTTTTTTGACACCCAAATGAAGTGTATTTACAAATGCACTACAGTAATATAAGTTTATATTAATACATATGTTCATATTAGCTTGGTAACTGTGAATAAAAACCGTCTCAGACCTTCCAGAGGGCCAGTACAAGCAGGGCCAGAAGCTGCAGTCCTCCCAATGTGCTCCCAACAATCACCCAGATGGGAATCCGGTAATCTTCCTCCTTCCTAATCTCCAGGATTATCTACAGAACCAAAATCCAAAAGCTTAAAAAGTCAAATTCTTGGAAGAATCGGGTATACAAGATCAGGCCTCATATGCAAACCTGCACAAATGAATGTTAGAAGATGTGTGTGTGTGTGTGTGTGTGTGTGTGATTAAGTTGACTAACACTGTATTTTTGCACCAGTTGTCAAGTAAAAAAGACTGATTTATCCATAAGGGGGCAGCACATCACTTGAGTTATTTTGGTTCTCAGAAGAATTTGTTCCTTTTTCACATTTAATTTCTGTAAGCAACTGGTCTTTCTTTCTCATTACACCGGTGCATGTCACACTAGCTTCTACTTCCAGCACAAGCAAATGTAATAAAGGAACTCATATCCATGAAGTGTCTCATGTACAGCATTCTGGAGGTACTCACGTGTCTCATGGGTCGTTCCTCGTGGAGAAACATCGCACTTGAGGGGCTCAACTCAACTACAGCCGTCATTACCAGATCTAACCGTTTAAATTTCACCTGAGGAATGAGATGAGGAGGTTTATTAATCGCATCTCTGCAAATAAACAGCTCATAACAATTTAAAATCCTCTTCGATATGTCCTGCACCAACTTTCCGTTTCAATAGGAAATTAGCACAAAAGCTTGCTTTGGGAAAATTGACATATATAATTAGAGGAAATGTAGATGCATTTAATAATATATGGACCCCTTTAAACAATTTGTTAACAAGTAGATAACATGGAACGTAAAATAATAATGATAATAACCAAACAATAATGTGAACAAATGCCTGATGTGAGAAATTACTATTATTTTACAAGAACAGATACTAGACTGATAAATGTAATTTTTTTGTTAATTTATAATTATTATTATTTTTAAAGTATAATTTGTGTGTTTGAAAAAAGAAAGAAAACCTTTATACAATTTGTTAACAATTAGGTAAAGTGGCATGTAAAATCATGATGACTGTGAACAAATTCCTTATGTGAAAAATTATTATAACAGATACTGTACTGATAAATATAACTAATTTATTTTCCTGTTAATTCCCGTGTGTGTGTGTGTGTGTGTGTGCGTGTGAGAGTGAGTGTGTGCGTGTGAGAGAGTGAGTGAGTGAGTGAGTCTGTGTG